AATGATACCACTGTGTAACTGAAAATGAGAGGGGAATCCTCGTAACAGCATTGGTGGGGAAGGAGGGGATTTTCCAATAGATTTTAAAATGTTACACATTGAGATCTATCAAAAAAAAAAATCCACATGTAATGATATACCATACTTTCTCAGTGACAAAGATATCCAGGCAAGCATCGCATAACTAGAAAAAGCAGTGTGAAAGTTATTGTTACAGGACGCATCCTTCAGAGAAAGCTGTCACAGGAAGCAGTAATTTAAGCAATTAATTTGACAAAACAGTCTTAGAGAAAAGACTAACTTGACTAAAGCTCTTTCAAAAAGGTAACACTTTTCTCCAACATAAAATAATTTTATTTTTAAAAGAAGGAACTGTGTAGATGGATAATAAAATCGGTGGGATAGTACCTGACTTGCATTCTTTTTGCATACTGCTGGGATTCCTATGTCAGATCTAGTAATAAGTTTAAGCAGTTTTCTCTCTTGGAGGGAGGAGGTGTTGAGGAACAGACGTATCTCAGTGGTTTAGCAAGGAAGGACGATGCAGTGTCTCTTGTGCTGGTGGTGGCTGTGCTTTCTCAAATGATACATAAAGATGATGAAAAGATTAGCTGTGAAGAGACCCCGTAGCAGCTTTATCCAAACTTGGCTTACTCCCAATGTATGGACCAAGAAATTACTTAAACCGTGAGGAAAAATTAGGAAGGAATTAAGTTAGGTAGCATAGTCACTGAGATGGTTTAAAATGTGGAATAATCTACCTGTTTGGTCTTTTAGGAGCAGGGGGATCTGGATTCTCCTACTATAAACCTCTGGGTGACTTTGGATGCGGTACTATACTGCCTGCTGCGTTGGTTTCCCCATCTGACGCATGCAGTCTTTCGGGGAAGGTAAGAAATCTTTCAAGTCCTTTGGAAGTGCTTCAGGAAATGACAGCACGGTACAAAGAAGTCCTGGTTGGAAAAACAGAGGTAACATGGCGTTTTACTGTCTAGATCATTAATTCAGCAGCTGTAGTTTACACAAAACTATCATACAAAATTGCTGAGAGTCCAGTTTTTGAAGGGCTTGAGTAGGGCACATGTCTTGGAGCCAGGATGTGCTGGCAAGTCTGCACTTGGGAGTTTATCTCCTCTGGGAGAGGTATTTATATATTAGATACATGGTAAAAACACTCTCTGCTACTTAAGGCCATTTATAACTTCCCTGTTCCAACATTCAAGCTAAATGCTGAATACACGCTTACCAACTCAATGGCTCTCTCCATCTACCCAGCCCTCAAGGGGCTATTCTAGGCTCTGGGGTGACGTCAACACTCCTACTTCACACGATATCACTGATGTGGTACAGTCCTGTACCTTCAGCTGAGACTTAGAAGATGAAGCTTTCCTCAGTAATTCTTAAGTTTTGTTGGTGAGCCTGGTTTTGCTGCCTCTACTATCATTAACAGTAAAGAGAAGTCTGACATCTTTCACGCAAGGGTCGTTCCTCTCTTCTTTTTTAAATGGGTCTAAGACAGCTGCTGTGAAGTGAGTGAAATACCTTGTGTTCTTGCTCCCTGCCTGCAAAAGCCACAGTGTCTTCACTGTGCAGTGCATCATTGCTGTGTTCAGGGAGCAGAAAACTACTCTCTTTTTTCCAGAAAGATCTGTTGTGAGTCACTAAACTAGGAACTACAGAACCTGCACAGAGCGTGTATGGAAAAGTGTCAGGCAGCTGTGTTGAGAAAGAAGCAACTTCCAGCCTGCTCTATCCACTAGTTTCTTATTGTTTGTGCTAACATGAAATTAATGGGAGAAGAGAGAGCATGTTCTGAGCTGAGCTCTTCATTTCTGAACGGCAGGGTTGGACTTGCATTTAAGTCCCACCTTGCTAAGGTTCTGAAATGCGCAATGAAGGCTCCCAAGTAAATTTTGCTGTGCCCGCTAATGATACCATGCGATAACCATGCTTTTTCAATATTGCTGTCCCATATTAATTATAATGGCATTAAAGATGATATGGCAGGCCACATAATAAATCCCACCGTTCTTACCCATAAGCTATACCTGAAAACCAGGTGATTTTGAACTCTTCAGACCCTCCAAGCTGTTTATCCAGTCATTTGAGAGAGGGAGAAAGAAAAGCAATGCCAATGCTGAACTCTTTAGAGAATCCACCTAAAATTTTAAGTCGTTAACTATCTATCATAGTTCCCTACAGATTCCCCGCTTTTCCTGGGCTCCCAAAGCCACACTGCTCACAACACGTAAATTGAGAGAACCTATTTTTATTGTACAGAACAGGGAGGTTGAAGCCTTGCACTAATTGCAAACCAGTATATAGTATCATCAGCGGAGCTATGACCAGCTCCAGCATAAGGCTTACATAAGCGGTGAGTCATACAGTCTTACGAAAGAGTAGGGAGCGAGGTTTTCATTATGTTGTTTGCCTAATCAGAAATATGAAAATAAAAGAACACAGCACTCAGTGGGTTACGTTTGGCTAACTGTAGGCTGGTATTTCTGCAGTCGCACTACTATGATTGAGGCATTTCGTTGTTTGTGGTCCCAGCTTATATTAAACAGAGAGGATTTTTTCATAAATCTTTGCCTCTAAGGCAGAGTTAAGGTTGTTTGGGAACCCTAGCTATGTGTTTCCAGACATTAATGTCTGGAAGCAGCACCATGAGAGTAAAAATGGAGGTATATGCCTAGGGAGGATACTGGGAGTAAATGAAGAGGCCCAAGGGCGGGGTAGGATAAGATAAGATGCTTATCCTTCTTCACTGAAGAAGCAGTGGAACGGAAGCAAAGCTTTTAGGATGACTGAAAAACAGTCTAGTGATGATTTCTCATATCTTACTAGTCTCTTTCCATGCTCTCAGGCAGGTAGTTGAATGGATATTGCTTTATCCAGCACTGCTGTTAGCCATGAGCTGAGATACATACAGCCCTTAGAAGACAACTGGAGAGTTTTGAGGATCAAAGTTGGCTGTAGCTTTATGTGCAGCAACAGTGCTCTTTACACTGGTCTGATTAACCCATCACTGCTTCTCATTTTCCTCCATCAGTCCTCTGCACCTCATGTGGCAAACTGGATCAGCAAGCTTGTCTCCTCGTGAAAAAAAACATAGCAATAGTAACTATCCAAATTTTCTTTCAAACATATGGCTACAATAGCTGAAGGCTGGAACAAGTGACAGTAGGAGGGAGTCTGGAGCTGAAGAGCCGCATGGCCAACTGCCCTAGGGACTTCAGCTTTGGAGCAGCAAAAGGTGAGTGCTTCCTGTATCAGAGCAGTTTGAACAATCCAGATTAAACCTTTTTTTTTTTTTTCCCCTGCAAATGGCTAATTTGGGAGCGGGTGGAGCTGTAGCCTCTTCGTCACCACCTCATTCCCCTATGGGCCCACATGCTTGCTCAGTGCAAGTACTCCTCTCTAACATAGTGTGCCTAAGCAGAAGGAGCCAGAGGACATTTCTACCTGCCCCATAACCCCCTAACCTTTGCTTTCCTGCCTGGAAAGGGAACACGGGGCCGTGTGGCACAAGCAGAACAGGCACTGCTGCGTGAACCATCAGGAATGTATAATTGCTCCTCAGTAAGTTGCCAGACTGCCTTAAAAAGGACTAGTATGCAGGATGCTTAGGGTTTGGGTTTGTTTCGTTTTGTTTGGGGTTTGTTTGGGGTTTTTTTTTGGGGGGGGAGGGGGAGGTGGAACTCCCTTCATCAACCAAAGGGGGGGGAAAGGCAAATTACTGAAAGCTGTTTCAGTTTGGGAATTATTTAAGCCTTAAAATAGCTTTTCAGAATGCGTATGCCTCCCCCCATCTTCGAAGCTTACTTCGAAGCTCGGCTGCTCTTGCTGCTTTGCAATAGCAGAAAGCCGGACTCTGCCCCTATCCCCTCACCCTGGGCAGCTCCAGGGCCGGAGCTAGAGACTGGTGTAACCGCAGGCTCCGTCCTGCAGCAGGGCCGAGCCCACCCTGGTACCTGGGCCCGCACCGGGGCGGGGGGGGATTCTGTGGGCTGCGAAGCTGGAAGATACAGGGGCTCACGCTCATTTTCACGCGTACGTTTTATTGCCGTGGCAACGACAGGAAACAGCACCTGGATCAGCAACGCCCAAATCCAAGCCTTTTTTAAAAAAGTAAATTTAAAGAATAAGATCCTCACAAGTGCGGTTTTCTTTGCAGACACTTGGCTTCCCCTGAAACCGACAGCCGTTGCCCGGCCGGCGGCCCTCTGATGTTGACGAGCGAGCGGCGGTGCCCCACTGAGCCTTTAAGGGGCCTTAATGGCCCGGGCGAGGCGCGGCCGCCCACCCCCGGGGGAAGCGGCCGTCGGGGCTGAGCACCCTGCCCAGCGCTCCC